CATTTCACAGCCCTTCTTGGAAAAGCAAAGATGGCACAGGGAGCCAAATATTAGAGAGAAAGTAGGGGGAGGTTGTGAGAGATATGGAAGACACAAAAAGAAGCAGAAAAAAGCAACACCACAAACAAATGGCACTCAGGGAGTTGGCCAGTGTGGGCGGGTGGACTCCAAGTGGCACAAGGCTGAAGTCGGTGCCTCCTGCCAAGAGACTGGCCACAGGAAGCAGAGGAGGCCAAGTAGGTGTAAAGAAGTGTGGGGGATGAGAATGTTTATATCGCTGGATACCAGTTGTTCTGTCTCCTGCTGGGAGCTCAGTGAAGCTGCTTTCCTGTACTCCCTGTTCTCTGATGACAGGAGTCCAAGGTGGTGAATCCATGCTGCGTTAGCTAATAAGAGACCTCCGCTTGTAACTCTCTTTGCTCTCTGTTCTCTGTAACTTTCTTATTCCACTTGGTGCTTTGCTGAGTTCTTTATCTTTTCATTTGATGCTTAGGGTTCCAGGATTGAGGCTTGTCTCTGTTTGACATAGTTTTTCAGGTCTTTGCTGTGGAGAGACAGTGTAGTGCTTCTGTCTATAGTGTCATGTTGCCTGTAAGTCTATGGAGAAAATGTTAAACAATGCAGGAAGCATCAAATAAGATGGAAGGACTACAGAGTCACTGTACTAAAAAGAATTGGTTCATAGTCAACCATTTCAGGAGGTAGCATATGATCAAGAATCTGTGGTAAGGAAGGAAGAGCTTCAAGATGAACTGAAGGCATTGAAAAGAAAAAAAAGGGGGCTCCAGGAGTTGACAGAATGCCAACTGAGATGCTTCAACAAATGGATGCAGTATTAGAAGTGCTCACTCATCTATGCCAAGAAATTTAGTAGACAACTACCTGGCCAACCGACTGGGGAGATCCATATATATGCCTATTCCAAAGAAAGGTGATCCAATCAAAAGTGGAAATTATCAAACAATACCAGTGATATCACACACAAGTAAAATATTGCTGAAGATCAATCATTAATGGCTGCAACAGACAGGGGATTTCCAGAAATTCAAGCCAGATTCAGAAGATGATATGGAACAAAGGATATCAATGCTGATGTCTAATAGATCCTGGCTGAAAGCAGAGAATGCCAGAAAGATGTTTACTTATGTTATATTAACTATGCAAAGACATTCGACTGTGTGCTTCATAACAAATTATGGATAACACTGTGAAGAATGGGAATCCCAGAACAGTTAATTGTACTCATGAGGAGCCCATACATAGATCAACAGGCAGTCATTCAAACAGAACAAGGGGAACCTGCGTGGTTTAAAGTCAGGAAAGATGTGTGTCAGGGTTGTATCTTTTCACCATTCTTAGTCATTCTGTATGGGATAAAGTTGTGGAAGACCTCCTCTGTAGAGATAAATAGCTTGGAAATTCTATGTGGAAGTTCTATTCTGTCCTATAGGGTCAGTATAAATCAGATTTGACTCGATGACAATGTATTTTTTTAACCAATGTATTTGACCTAACCACAATTTATAAAACATTCACTGCATTGCAATATAACCAACTTTGATGGTTAAGATTATGTGTCAGCTTGGCTGGGCCATGATTGTCAGTGTTTATATATAATCACCCCCATGTGGGATCTGCTGTGAATAGTCCATCAGTTGAAAGGGAGTTTCCTTGGGAGTGTGGCTTGCATCTGAATATAAGCGGACCATTCTGGCTTTTGCTTGCTCTGGATCCTGCAGCTGCCTCCTGTTCATCTGAACTCTGGTTCATGGGGTTTGACCTGCCAATCTTGGGTTTGCCAGCCCCTGTGGCTAGGTGAATCAGGAGAATCCTCTATCCTAATCCATGGACTTGGGACTTCCCAGCCTCTACAATCATGTGAGCAGTTTCCTTGATATAAATCTCTCTCTATATATATATATTTGTAAGGTTCACTGGTTTTGCTTCTCTAGAGAGCCCAGCCTAAGACACCAGTCAAAATATCACTATTTTTTCTACTTGATTCCATTATCTTTTACCATGTCAAAAATTTATTAGATTGTTCTCCTATGTGCATATATGTCTATCTCAATAATAATTAACAAATATGTTTAAATACAACTAATGTGTACAACATATTGCTGAGTGTTTTCTTCCTTGTTGGTTTTTGGTTGAAAGCAGAGAATACCAGAAAGATGTTTATCTGTGTTTTATTAACTATGCAAAGTCATTTGACAGTGTGACTCATAACAAATTATTAATAACATTACAAAGAACGGGAATTCCAGAACACTTAATAGTGTTCATGCAGAACCTGTACATAGATCAAGAGGGAGTTGTTCAAGCAGAACAAAGGGTTACTGAGAGTTTTAAATTCAGGAATAGTGTGTGTCAGGGTTTTATCCTTTCACCATACTTATTCAATCTGTATGCTGAGCAAATAATGTGAGAAGCTGGACTGTATGGAGAAGAAACGGGCATCAAAATGAGAGAAAGACTTACTAATAACCTACAATATGCAAATGAGACCACTTTGTTTTCTGAAAGTGAAGAAGACTTGAAGCACTTACTCATAAAGTTCAAAGATTACAGCCTTCATTATGGATTGCACATCAACATAAGGAAAAAAATCCTCACACTGGACCAATAAGAAAAAAACCATGATAAACAGAGAAAACGTTGAAGTTGTGAACAATTTCATTTTACTTGGATCCACAATCACCACCCATGGAAGCAGTAGTCAAGAAATCAAACACACATTGCATTGGACAAATCTGCTACAAAAGTCCTCTTTAAAACTTTAAAAGCAAAGATGTCACCTTGAGAAATAAGGTGCTCGTGACCAAAGGCATGGTATTTTCAATCTACTCTTATGCATGACAAGCTGGAGAATGAATAAGGCAGATCAAAGAAGAATTGATGCATTTGAATTATGATGTTGGTGAAGAATATTGAATATACCACGGACTCCAAGAAGAATGAACAAATCTATCTTGCAAGAAGTACAGCCAGAATGCTCCTTAGATGCAAGGATGCTGAGAGTTCGTCTCACATACTTTGGACATATTATCATAAGGGACCAATTCCTGGAGAAGGACATTGTGCTTGGTAAAGTAGAGGGACAGTGAAAAAAGAGCAAGACCACCAATGAGATGGACTGACACAGTGGCTCCATCAATGATCTCCTACATAGCAACAATTGTGAAGATGGTGCAACACTAGGCAGTGTTTTATTCTTTTGCACATAGGGTCACTATGAGTTAGGACTGACCCAATAACACCTAAGGACACTAATAGTGCAACGGAAGATAAATGCCCTTGTTTCCAAATATAAAATTTGTATCTAAAATTATATTTACTTCTAGGCTCTGTGTTGGAATATTTCCTATTTGTACAGTAGCATACTCTCTTATTAATAAGTTTAAAGGAGCCCAGGTGGCACAAAGGTTAAGTGCTTAGCTGCTAACCAAAGTTTGCATTTCAAGCCCACCTATCTGTTATGCAAGAGAAATACCTGGTAGTATGTTCCTATAAAGATTACACCCTAGAAAATCTTATGAAACAGTTCTACTTGATCACATGGCATTGCCATGAGTCAAAAATCAAATTGATGGAAACTACCACAACCATAACGTCAGTGGATTCTTAATACATTTAATAGGTAATCAGACAAATTATCTTCAATTTTATATTTTTCTTTACTTTCCTGGTTGTATTAACTCATTCCTTGTTTCATAAAAGTGATAAGACACTCCTACATGTTTAAAAAATCATTTTTTCAGATGGAAAAATAAAAATAAAATAAACAGAAACCTTTCCCTGGCTAGATTTCTGGCTACAACATATAGGAATATGTGAACTGGTGAAACTATAAATATATTAACCAAGTGTTTACATATTTGTAGAACTTTATGCTTCCTATTCTATTTTGGTTCAGGCTAGTTAGGTACTGTTGAGTTAGTTCCAACTCATAGTGATCCCATGTGACAGAGTAGAACTGCCCATAGGGTTTTCCAGGTTGTCATCTTTATGTGAGTAAATTAACAGGTCTTTTCTCCCATGGAGCCACTGGGTAATTTCAAAATGCCAACCTTTTATTTAGCAGTTGAACACTTAACCATTATGGCACCAGCGTTTCTTGCTTCAGGTTTACCTAAGTATAATTTACATTTACTTTCTGCAGATGTACATTTCTATTGATGTTGGCCAGGTTTAAGGCTTTATACTAGAGTTTCTCAGTATCAGCACTATTGCCACTTTGGGCAATATAGTTATTTCTTGTGGGGAGCAGTCCCGGGTACTGTATGTTTTTTAGCGGCATGCCTGGAATCTAACACTAGTGCCAGAAATACCTGCCCCTGGTTTTGAAAACTAAAAGTGATTCCAAGAATTACCAGATGTTCCTGGGAGCAAAATTGCCCTGTAATATAGACATATACAATATTACCCAATGACTTACCCAAGTCAATCTAAGTGAAAGGCATTTTGTCAAACTGGATTGAGCAGTATTCATGTAAAAGAAACTATTGGAAATCAATATGAGGGTGAGAGGCAGGTTTGAGTTTCAGCATGAGAATAATTTCCTGTATTGTTTCTTAACCTGACAACAAATGGCACTAATTATTATCCAGAATTGAAAACAGAGGTCTCATCTATAAATATTACTGTGGAGTCTGTACGAGACAGATGTGGAAAGACAGACAAAAGTCTTTCCCTTGAAAAGAAGTCATGTTCAGAGTCATGAAGGTTCCCCAGAATCGCCTTGCATATGGATCCCTAGAGAGATGCTGACCAGCTGGGGAAACCACAACTTCTGAGAGGAAACCATTCCCTGAATCCTTCTCCTGAATCTGCTGACAAGATGGGTCACTAAGCTTAGTGCATCCTGAATGCCCCCTGGAGACTACTCCTCTACTGACCTCCTGCAGGGAGGTTTTTGTCTGGGCTCAGGCTGACTTCCTCTCACTGTGTCTTTGCACAGTAATACAGGGCCATGTCCTGAGAATTCCAAAAGTTCAGTTTTAAACTTGGCTCTTGGAGTTTTCCTTGGTGATGCTGACTTGGGACTTGAGAGTTGGGTTATAGAATGTGCTCCCACTATACCCTATTGCACCAAGCCAGTCTAGTTGCTTCCCTGGAGGCTGACGGACCCAGCTCACAGCATAGCTGCTTAAAGAGAATACAGAGACAGCACAGGTAATAGAAAGGGTTTGCGAGGGCTTCACCAGTCCTGGGCCTGACTCCTGAAGCTTCACCTGGGACAAGGCACCTGGAGACAAAGAGAAATTCAGTGAGTCATGAGTTCAAATGTCACATACCCAGACCTTCATGTCTGAATCCCTTAGACACTCACCTCTGGAAGCTGCTATCAGAAAGAGGAAAACCCACATGTGTTTCACCTTATTGTGGATAAGGTCCATGACCCCCAGAAAATATTCTCTGAGATGAGGAGGAACCTGAATTTATGTAAATAGATTCTGTGAGTTCCTCTGGCTGCTTAAGTGGGATTTGCATGTGGGAGGTGCATTTGCATGTAAAGGTGAAGAGGGATGAAGGGAGGCCCCTTTCTCTAACATTCTCACTGGATAAAAGATGCTGGGTATTCCTTTGGGAGAACACAATACTTTCTGGGGCCTTCACTTCACCAAGCCCTGGATTCTCTTAATTCACACCAGGATATATTCTGGTCAGGAAGTCAGATGCAACCAAGAATCAAGGACACTTTTGGGAATAGAGTCAATGCACCTCTACTCCCAAGCATGGATAGATACATACGTACATACATACATACATAAAATACATAGATACATAGATAGACAAATAGATGAATTAAAAGATCAGTTAATGTCAAATAGTTACCACAACTCCAGGACTCCCTGAATGGTCAAGTACTCATTCTGATTCATTTCACACCTGTGTTAGCTCATGTTTATACTTTTGATGTTTCAAAGTGTAGAGACAGCAACTAAATGGACCAAAAACATAGAATTCAGACAAAACTGAGTCTAAAGTAAAGTTTGTTGTACATTGAAGTGACTTTGAAAGATTCATTAACTTGGATGAATGTTTCTTCACCTGAAACACCTTTACAACTATGTATACTCAAGAGTTACTGTAGAGGGGAATATCTTCATGCCAACCTAAAGTCCTTTTTTGTTTTTTTATTAGTTATTTTTACAAAGATTATAGATTTCTGCTTAGATAGTAATCATTCCTAGCATTGTTGCAAAGACCAGCAACACCCTAGTTCTCATTTTTCCCAGAAGTTGAGTTTCTGCAACAAATTTCTGAGTCTGTAGACTACTTGAAGGAGAACTCTGAGCAACAGAAACCCTCAAGACCTACAGAGAGATTTAGTGCTAAGTCCTAGTTTACCAATATTTTGGGTCAGTAACCCGGTCTTTGTATATAATTCGTATATCCTAGATGTGTCGTTCCTTGCTTTCTGAGTCACTAACAGAGGATATTGAATTGACTGAAAATGATTTCCATTACTTTGGATGGAATGATATTCATGATTCTTGGAAATACTGCTGTCCTCCAAATGGGTTGCAGAAGGCATGAGTTTACCATTGCCAGAGGGAAAGTCCCTGACCAGGAAGCAGGTCTCCTTGAAAAATCCTGCTGAAGTCGGCCCCGTGATATCCTATGTCACTGAATCTGAGATTATGTCCTGTTGCTGTGACGAAGAATCCGAGAGACCTCCACTGAAGGAGTCGGGGTGGGAGGACATCAGCAGTTCTGAGCTCGACTCGTACAGCTACACATGGCACATGCCATCTGAGGACAGGAAAAAAAATCATCATAATTGTTAAACGTCAGACACCTAATCCATGTAATCTCATTATGGAAATCACCGAGATACTCACGAGGTGAAGTGACTACAAGGTGGAAGCACGTCAACAGGAATCTCATGATTTTCTGGAAAAGGTGTATAATTCCTGGGGAACTCAGCACACAGTATGAAGGTTCTTGTCAGATTCTGGCATTTAACATGGAAGGTGAAGACGTCATTTTCATGTGGGAGGCCCCAGGTAGAAATCAGGGAAAGGCCAGGTAAGGTCTCAGTCTCTGATTTAGAAGCTAGAAAAAGCAAGTCAGACTGATTCCTCAAGAAATGCCCTAGCCTTACTGACAGCTTAGGGGCCAAGAGATGGAGATCATATATGTTTCTATTCTTGAGAGAGAGAGAGAGCTTGGAAATGGAAAATAAACTCTTGTCCCATGAGAAATGCCCTTTTCCTTTCATAGGGACACACTTAACTTCCGACCGATCTTTCAGGAACATATTATTTGACATCCCTATCTTCTTTTTTGCTTCTATTATACTGTTGGGTGGCACTTGGGAGGACATTGGAGCAGTACTTATTATATGGGGCATGCTGCTCCAGGAACAACAAATGTGGGGCCACTTCCAAGCTCAGCACCTTGAGTGTTGAATGACCTTTGCCAGATCACTCGACTCTTTCCTGGTGGCTCCTTATCTCCAGAATGGGCCTTGTGAATAGCTACCAACCTTGGATTTAGGGGAACATGGAGCTCTGGTGTCACAGTGGTTAATAGTTACAGCTGCTAACCCAAAGGTAGGCAGTTCAAATCCACCGTCCTCTCCTTGGAAACCCAATGGGGCAGTTCTACTCTCTCCTATAGGTCACTGTGAGTCAGAATCGACTCGACGGCAATAGGTTAAGTGGATGATAATTATTCCGCCAGGATATACACAGAGTTTATATTCAGTGACAGTAAATCATTATTCATAACCTTGAAGCACTTGGATTCTTACCTGCTGCTACTCTTAGCACAGATCTGAGAACAATCTCCTTGCACCGCGATCTTTCTGGGCTCTGGCCTGAAGGGGGATCATGAAGTGTGTCAATTCTCCCGATATCTCCTCTACTTTTGTGATTCCTTGTTCTTAGTTGGAACTTGCCTGCACAATTCTGTGTGTGGGCTTTGCATAAGTGATCACTTGTGTAAGTAAAGATTTTCTAGAATGTATTATGAGTAGGAGTGCATGTTGGTGTTTGTGTGTCAAATGTTTGTGTTTGTGTGTACCTGTGCTGAGCATTAAAGAGATGTTTCCATGCAATTTGATCAAAAATTATAAATGCTTAGGCTAGGAAAGAATTCTCATGTTTGTATAAATGTAAGAAGGCTGCATGGTAAGATGCTGTGAGCATGTGAAAATTACAAAAATAAGAAAAAATCAAACTCTTTGAGTCCCTAGAGCTCTCCCTTTTCCACACCATGACCCAGGTGGCCATTTTCTCTGGAAGGCCTGAAACTGGGTTATCTACTATCCCATCTACTACCCCAAATATGCAAATAAGAAGTCACTTAGCTAAGCTGAACACCACAACCAGCTGTTCTAAGATTGTGCACAGGAGACTACATGACCTCAAGAGCTGGGCGAGTCCTGTCAAAAGCTTTCTCTTAAATATGTACTTTTCAGGGGAAGATTGTTTGAAGTGAGGCACTGGTGTATGAGGCTGTAGGGAATTCCATGGATGGATGTGCTCTGTAAGAAAGCACAAGCAGGAAAGACAAATTCATGGACTGAATAAATGTCATCACTCTGAGGACACTCTACTGAAGACCAAACAGCACTTTTCATGTGTAAAGTATATCTACTATCTCTCTGTTCTTGTGCATTTAATGTGAGGCTGGTGTTTGTTCAGGTTAATTCAGTAGGCTATGTTTCTTTTTATATTGTATGTGTAATGCAACTTTATTATTATCAGAGTTACCCATATGGAGATGATCTAATGAAATTCCACCAAATCCTCTATTCTCACCATGTAACAGAATCAAGACAAGGCCTACATGAATCTTCCCAGAAAGCTGAACACAGGAACAATGAGATATTTCCCCTAAAGCTCCCACTCTCTGTGACACTCAATCCTATGTAAAGAGGAGATTAAAAAAAAAATCCTTATATTTCAAAGTTACCTTCTAATTCTAGAGTCAGAATTAAAAAAACACGTTTTCTCTGGATGTTGTTGTTTGTGGGATTAGAAAAAATCACAGACAGTGACACAAATCTCCCCTATCCTCCCCCGAATTGCACCTAGGGTGGGACCTGAGCTCAATGGGTCCTGAGGGCTCTCTGCTTACAGCCTCCCATGACTTTCAGGTGAAGTGTTTGCTGGACTCCCACTATCTTACCCCCATCGTGGGTCTCACAGAGCAGTATCTTCTTTGGTCCTAAGTATCCAGGCTGCTGAACAGAGTTGGTACCAGGAGCTGTCTTCCGTGTCCTGGTCATGGACAGTTGAGCTACATTTGTGGTCAGCACGCCTGTTATAGCTGAGCATCCACTGCAGCCCCGTGCCAGACTCCTCTCTGATCCATCTTAGTCAGCAGACATCAAAGCTGCACACTGTGCTCTCTAGCTACTGGTCTTTCATAGTGCCTCAAGACACAAATTACTGGGTAAGAATAAATGTTTTTTGGAGAGAAGATAAATTCAGACCCTGAAAGGAAACCCCAGATGACACAAGAAACATCCCTCCCTACCCTCTTTCTTCACTTATTACAGGAGCTGGTGGGTACTGAGCACCACTTGCTGATCAGTCCCATCCTTGGAGGAAGTTTGTGTCTGTGCTAACAGTGACTTTCCCTCACTGTAGCTCCCCCACAGCTCTCAGGATATGCATTTGCAGCATATTCTTGGGGTTGTCCCTGGAAATGTAGAACCAATCATTCACCGAGCCTATGTAGTGTGTGTAACTTCCATCATACTATATGAGTGTGTGTGTGTGTGTGTGAGTGAGTAACAAGGATATCATGTCATGCAATAGAATCATTATTTGTTTATAGTGTCTTCAATTAAGTGCACAGCCTTGGGATACTGACCACAAAGAACATAGAGAACAAATTGTGTATGTATATGTGTCAGCAAAAAAGAGATGTGTAGGACTGACAGAGTAACCACAACAATGGACCCAAACATACAAATGATCATAAGGATGGAACCCTCGTGATCTATGCTGTGTGTGTATGTGTGTGTGTGTGTGTGTGTGTGCACGCACTCAGGGTTGAAGAGAAATTTAATACTAATGACAATAATACACACACACACACACATATAAATGTATATATGTATATACTGTATATATATATGTGTATATATGTATATATGTGTATATATATATGTATATATATGTGTATATACCTAACCAGTTGTCGTTGAGTCGATTCTGACTCCTAGCCACCCTATAGGACACAGTAGAACTGCCCCATAAGGTTTCCAAGGAGCGCCTGGAGAATTTGATCTGCCGACCAATTGGTTAGCAGCCATAGCTCTTAACTACTTCCCCACCGACGTTTCCATATATACACATACATATATAATGATATGTTATCTTGTATTGTATTATATTATATTGTA